TTTTTCCTGCTCTTAATGATCTGCTGGATGATATACGGCTGCCTTTCCTGTGAGCCTACAAAACACTTACATTTCTCTCCCTCTTTTCAGTCGTGTTTTCTCCCTCTTCAACTCCTTTTCTCTCCTCTGCGTGTCCTCAGACTGGAGGATCCACTGCGCCACCAGCTACGCTAAGGATGGTTTTCTGGCTCTACCTGACTCAGATCGCCTCTTGCTCTCCTTGGATGTTCTGGATGTTCCTCAACAGGCATTTTCCACTTCATGTGGGGTCGCCGTGCTCATCATGTGTCAGCTCTACCAGGTCTGGATCTACATTTTGGATTTAAAACTAAGAAATAGAATCCTTTATTGTCATTATACCCAAGAGATGTACAACCTTCAGGAGGAGACGACGAGGGCATAGATTTGTAGTTCTAATGACAGACATACATGTATATAAAACCCAACAGATGCTTGTTACTCTGCTAAATGTCGCTGCTTTCTCCTTCAGATCGCAGCTCTGGGAATCACCACCAACGAGAGGATGAACGCACGGAGATACAAGCACTTTAAAGTCACAGCCACATCCATCGAAAGCCCCTTCAAGTAAGTTATTTTTTGATGCATTAGGGTGTTTAGAATACACTCAATATATGTAATGAGATAATAACATATATGTGTATATCAGTATGTAGTGTCTCTACTTTAAAGAAGTTCCTCTCCTGCTGATGTTCAGATGTATATCAGTATGTAATGTCTCTACTTTAAAGAGTCCTCTCCTGCTGATGTTCAGGTGTATATCAGTATGTAGTGTCTCTACTTTAAAGAGTCCTCTCCTGCTGATGTTCAGGTGTATATCAGTATGTAGTGTCCTCTACTTTAAAGAGTCCCTCTCCTGCTGATGTTCAGGTGTATATCAGTAATGTAGTGTCTCTAATTTAAAGAGTCCTCTCCTGCCTGATGTTCAGGTGTATATCAGTATGTAGTGTCTCTACTTTAAAGAGTCCTCTCCTGCTGATGTTTCAGGTGTATATCAGTATGTAGTGTCTCTACTTTAAAGAGTCCTCTCCTGCTGATGTTCAGGTGTATATCAGTATGTAGTGTCTCTACTTTAAAGAGTCCTCTCCTGCTGATGTTCAGGTGTATATTCAGTATGTAGTGTCTCTACTTTAAAGAGTCCTCTCCTGCTGATGTTCAGGTGTATATCAGTATGTAGTGTCTCTACTTTAAAGAGTCCTCTCCTGCTGATGTTCAGGTGTATATCAGTATGTAGTATCTCTACTTTAAAGAGTCCTCTCCTGCTGATGTTCAGGTGTATATCAGTATGTAGTGTCTCTATACTTTAAAGAGTCCTCGTCCTGCTGATGTTCAGGTGTATATCAGTATGTAGTGTCTCTACTTTAAAGAGTCCTCTCCTGCTGATGTTCAGGTGTATATCAGTATGTAGTGTCTCTACTGTGACATGTTCCATGTTTTTAATGTTCAAAAAGCTCTTTATTTTTCTCATACTGCCTGTGCTGCAGCAACCTCTTTTCACCCTCTGTCTGAAACCAGAGCCCAGTCTGCTCTGATTGGTCAGCTTTCTGGCTCGAATGAGGCGTTTTAGGCAGGGGGGAGAGTGTGTGGGATAGAAACTTAAGCCTTTTCAGACCATTTACATGCACTAAAACCTATAGGACACACTACAGGAAAGGGAAAAAGGGGAAAAGGGGGGGAAGCACCACTAACTAACCCCTCAGCAAGTCTGAAAAAATGGGTTTTGGTGCTATTTTTAATTAATATGATGCTTTTTCCACTCTCTCTCTCTCTCTCTCTCTCACTCTCTCTGTCTCTAGTCACGGATGCATCAGGAACCTGATCGATTTCTTCGAGGTGCGCTGCTGCGGCCTGATCCGGCCCGTGGCGGTGGACTGGAACCTCTCAGTACACAATAGAGTACGACCAGACACGTCCGGCTCCGGATACCAGCTTGGTGTAGAAGAAGAAGAAGAGGAAGAAGAATTGGAATAAACCGATATGGGATCGATGTTGTTCTCGGGAGCGCTTTGCTTTATTCGAAACCATCTCTTCCCTCACCGATCAAAAAGACTTAGATTAAAAAAAATCAGCCAAGACTAGCATGCTGTTACAGGGCAACACCACACCCCCCCCCCTTTACCCTCCTTCTTCTACTACTATTACTACTATTGTACAACATCATTACTGTACCTCCAACTCGCTCCCCCTCCAGCTTCTCGTCTCCTTTCCCGATGGACGGTGCGTTGCTGCCAGGCAGGAGAGGAGGAGGGAGGAACACCACGAAAAATAATCTTCTGTTTGATCCCGGAGGCTTAAAAGTGGCCAGCATCACTCTGAAATCCCCACCTCTACCTTGTCCTTATTCTTATTTATGGTTGTCCCTGTTGATGTGCCCTGTATGTATGTTTTGAAATGGTTCAGGAAAGGATAAGTAACGCCTGAAGGATTTTGATTTTAAAAAAACATTAATTTGTTTTTAAGTATGATAGAAATAAGGGAATGTCTTTTTTAAAAAAACCTCTTGATTTTGCACCGGGTTTTGCCAACATCTCATCATAGGGGGAAAGTGTTGGGTTACAGGTGGAGCCTGCCTGGAGGAATGAAGAGTTTTTTGGGTTATTCTAAAAGCAGCTGTTGTGCAGTAACGTAATGCATGAGTCCCTTCAGCAGAACCCACCGTTAAAGTGACAGAGAAACCCTACAGACAATGTGATACAGGAATATTTTATTTTATAACTATTTATACATTAATGTTCTAGCGCCATCATTTTTACATTTCACATCATTTTTTTTTAGCGCAGTAGGTTTTTATGACGAGGAAGGAAGCCCGGGAAGTTACCATAAAAAAACTTTATCGACAGGTACATCGAGCGTATATTTATTAGCAAGACGAAGGACGACAGACGCGTTTACAGGACGGTTCATTCCATGTGTGTTTTTTTCAGAAAGCTGTAAAAGTCTTATTTTTTTTTTTGTGTTCGTCTTTTGTCTGCCTAAAACTTTGCACTGATCTTTAGTTTAGTTTTTTTTTTGGTTTTGTTTGGCTGTTACTGAACACCAGGACGCTTCCATTGTTTACAGAGGAGGATATGCCCCCGCCCCCTTTTCCCTTTTTAACCCCCCCTCCCCCCCATCACTTCCTGTCCGCAGCAGCAGGATGGACGGTTGAGAATGTGCACCTGTACATAAATCTCTCTGTATAACTGTTTTTATTTTCGTCAGTGTTAGTTTTGAGGTGCTCCTGGATTATTTTTTTACTTATTTCCTAGTTGCCAGCACTGTGAACCCGAAATGTTGAGAACTCCTAAAGTTCTTATGATAGAAATGTATAGTACGGGTCCTAAGCACATAGAAACTGATGGATGCTAACTTGCATATGTTGGGCAATTTGTATAATTGGCATCTACTAACATATTCAGACAATAGCTAATGACTTTTTGGAGTGGTTTTTGGACGTTATTCAGGATTTCAAGTCCATTTATGACATTTTCAGGATAAAAAAAATGGCAGTTTTAACCAAAAGTGGCCATATGTGTACTCTCGGAGGACTGATTTTGACTAGCATGAGCAGTGTTGCGACCATTGGATATAGAGAACTCACATTTTTAGCAATATGTCGAATCCAAATGATCCAGATTGTATACAAATCAGCCCATAGAGAGTAAAAAGAAGACTACTTTCTGGTTAAAACTGCCATTTATGGTCCTGAAAATGTAAGAAATGGACTCGACATCCTCAATAACCAATCCAAAATTGTCCAAATCAGCGAAGTCATTTTGAACTATTGTCAGCATATGCTAATTGACGCCACTTGTGCTAATTAGGCAAATTGCCCAACATATGCTAGTTAGCATCCTGCAGTTTCTATGTCCTGTTGACCCGTACTCTACATTTCTATCATTAAACGTTGGTATACTCAGCGTGTCCGTGTTCACAACAGGACTCTATGAGCTGGTAAAAAGGGGATTTCTTCAAACCAAACTGAGAGAAGAAGAAGTGACTGTCTGGCTTTTAGTGACGTCCCACACTGCTGTCTATAGGCATTTTACCCCCCTCCCCTCTGCCCGAAAATCACTGCATGTTCGACACCCCAGCCCATAATCATCGCCATGGTGACAGCCCGGCGAGCCACGTGTCTGTTATAAGTGAATGTTAAGTATTTGCAAGTACTTTTCTGCATACCGTTCATTTTACGTCTTGTTTTCTTTTTAAAAATCTCAAATCCAGTGTGTTTCTTAGTGGGATTTGTTTTCTTCCAGCCCTCGTGTACAAGTGTGTGATATATTTGAATGTCCCATGCTTGTGTAGTCATCCTTGAAGGGGGTTTTTTATTTTAAAATCCCTACGTTATATATCGCTGGGTTTGTTACACCACTGGATGTACAAATTGTAAAGCAAAGACACTAGAGAACTAAGGCAAACGCCGATTCCTTTTTGTGTTGGTTTTCTAAAAAGCTGTGTTTCATGCAATAGTTTTTAAGTATAAAGGGAGGTTATATTACATTAAGGCCTCCGGACATTATTGGGCCTCATGTTTGCATCATCAGACGGAGGATTATTCATCATTTCACTCTGGCTAACCAAACACTGATGTCATTTCTGAGCTGGTTTATGTGTGCTTTAAAGTTTCAAGGGTCATGGTTTCATATCAGAATCAGTAACGGACCACATGGGTTGTTTGTGATGCCTCTTTAGTGACGGGAGGAAAACGCGGGCTTGTTTTGTTTGTTTCCGGGCAGAGTTCAGCACTCTCATCCAGGACACAAACTCAGTCCTCACTAGTTCTTCCAGCAGCCTGAAAACTCTGTTCGTCCCCCCCCCCCCCTCTCACTCCTATCATGTGGGGATAATACAAATCAAGTAGGAAAAAAAAGGTTAAGCACATAATCATCTCCAGTGCCTCTCTGCCCACCTTCAGACATCACTGTAACTCCGCTTCAGATGTAAACATATGGGCATGGTTCAGTTTTAATGGCTTTAATAATAAAATACAGTCAAATGTGGAGTTTGGTAATGTTTTTATTCGTGTCATGAGCACCTAAGAGAGGAAACACAAGGGAAATAATGCTGTTTTTTGTTCATGATGGACGGAAAAAAACGCTCGTTTTTGTACATGGACGAAAAAAGCAGTTTTTTTTTGTTCATGATGGACGAAAAAAAAAGCTGTTTATGGACGAAAAAAAACTGTTAATGATGGATGAAAAGAAAGCTGTTTTTTGTTCACGGTGGATGAAAACATCAGGATCTCTCTTCACTGAGCGTTGGACCAGAGCTCCGGCTCCCTGACCGTAACCGAAGCCTTTAGGTCCGAAGTTCTAGCGTAACAAGCTGCAGAGGAAACGGAGGATGTAAATAAAACAATGACAAGCTGCACTTTGTTTCCTTACATTCACAACTAGTAACACATTCAAAGTGTGTGTATTTAAGGAAGACTAGCCAATACACCAACATTGAAACACATGAGCACGTACGGCATTTAAAAAAGCAAAAATCAAATCTGAGCTGACAGAAAATGCTCTAATTTAGTTGAACACACAGCTTTCAGCTCACACACTGCACAGTGCTGCAAGGGTTGTTTCAGAGGATAGAAAGACACATTATCAAGCTGCAGACTGTATTGTTCCAAAACGGTTTCCTTACAACTAGTTAAACGTTCAAAATGTGTGTATTTGTAGGAAGACTTGCCGGCAGTAGCCTACACACCAGGGATGTCCAAAACATCTTTCCTTGAGGGTCACATACAGAAAGTTATACGAAGGGCTGGGCCCCTCGCTAGAGTTGAGGTACACATTTCCTCATAAATTAAGTTAGCAAAATAAATCAAATGAAGGTTATTTTTCTTGCATTAAGAAAGGACCAGCTTTCCATTAATAGGCTTTCTTTGATTTTGTGACAAAATGTTGGCAGCTTAATTGACTGAACTTTGGGCTTATCAACACATTAATTACTGTCATATGTTTACATTTATATTAAAGAAGTACAATATAAGTTCAGCACATGTTTCAGGTGTGTTTATAGTTTAAAGGTCCCATGTCATGCTTTTCTGGTTATGACCCGTCCCCTTGTGTGTTATGAAGGTTTTCTGCATGTAAACGGTCTGCAGAGTCACAAACCCTCAAAGTACACCCTGTAGCGAGTAAACTCTAACACAGAAAAGACCTGGTCTGTGCTGCCACCAGAACGCCTCGTTGGACATTTCTCTTTTTCCATTGTTTACTTCTTGGGTTCTGTGACGTGTGAACACCAAATCAACAACAAATGACCGGATTGGCCCAAATGGACCATCCTTGGACCACCTCACACATCTGAGGACGCCTGTACTACGAATCCGGATTTTCTCTTAGCCGGCTGACTTCAGGGAAAACTCGGGCTTTCCGGTCCTAAGACGCTGGTTCTCTTTTTAGCGGGGCTAGATCTCCATGTGTAACTTATGCTGAGCGGCTAACCTCCTCCGGAGCAGGTTAGGTGGCAGGCTAAGAGATCAACTCAGTGAAGCACCGCCTGCTGACCAATCAGAGCTCCGTGTGTGCGGAGTTTTAAAGCGATCAAGTCATATTACAGGATAGAGGAAATACAGAAAAAACTGCCGTTGCAGGAAAGACAGCCGGCAAAAATCAACTGACTGTGTGAACGTGAAAATGAATAGAATATCCCCTCCCATCTTCAGAGCAATCTGACTATTATAACATTAGCGTTAAGAAAGCTTACTTAAATATCTGCCACAACATAAGTAACCGGATCAGAGTAACATTAAGTACAGTCCGCGGCACTGTGAGTGCAGACGTAGATGTGTCCCATTATCATTCATATCATATCACATCATAATGTATCATATATTTCCTTATCTGAGTCAGCTGAGCCGTATCTGGCCGTGCCAACACTCACAGTGTCACATACTGTATGCAGAATTATTATTTTAAGCAACACATTAAGTTGACGAAACACTCGAGTCAAATGTAATTAAAGTCAGATCCACTCGTGTCTTGGGGCAGTGATTTCATAAACCTGTTAATGTACGCATTTCAACACTTTTTCTTTACCAGCTGTATTCACCTTGCAGGTGCAGCTATGTGGCTTTTATCCTGGAATAAAGTGTTTAAGTCATGGATGTTTAAAGTTTAACTTCTCATATTTGACTAATATAAAGTCACTTTTCATTCAGGAAGTATGACGCTGCGCTGTCAGTACGCTTGTCCGTGTTTGAGATTGGTCGAATGCTCAAATACCACCCCTTTCATGTGAACGCGCACCTAACTAGATAGGACACGGCTGGCTTGAGCGATCCACTTCATAACCAGCGTCGTAGTACAGTTTAGCGAGAGCGCGTATGTTTTGGATTGGGCCAACCGGCTAACTCAACATATCCAGGTTAGGAAAATCCGGCTTCGTAGTACAGGCCTCTGGATCCCTTGGCTAACTAACAGGGAGTCCCCATTGACTTGCATAGAGCCCCCTGAACGCTGGGTAATGACGAGTTGGGGTCGCGAGAAATGCTCTCCGCAGACCCATTCTCACAGCGTTATAAAACCTTTTCTTACTCAATATCAAGCCACACTTATTGTTTTTACTTCGGCTGTGAGTGTTTGTGTGTGCTCAGGATGAGTTTCTCGCTTGTTCTCGCGGTATCGCCGACCCGGAAACCTGTCCGCTCCTCGCAGCAGCAACGAGCCTCGCAACGTCCCGACCAATCAGAGTACACTGGGCTCACAGGGAGGGGGGGGGCAGGAGCTCCAACAAGCCGTTTAGGACAGAGAGTGAATACACATACTATACAGAGATGCTGTATGAGAGAAACAATGTGAGTTTGGAACATTGAACAATATAAATCTATTCTATAGACCTCAACAATGGAACTATGATCAGTAGAAATGGCCATGATACCTCTCCTTTAAGGGTTGTTTCAGGCCTCTTCTGATTCACACATTTGTAAAGTCGTAGTAATCTGAGTTATAGTAACTGTAAGGGAACACAGTTACCTGTTACATGTAATCTGTTACTCCCAAGCCTGGTTTAGGTCTTTGTTAAAGACCTTTAGTTTCTTTTTCTTTTGCAAAGGTCACATCCCAACACATGCAGCTGCTGTTTAGAGTCAGGATGTTACGAACCCTCTGACTCACAGAAACATTCCTCCTCATCAGTCCAAGGTTCTTTATGACATGCAGCAAAACATCTGCTGACGTCTGGTTCTGTTAAAGCGGAGGAAGAGGAGGGAGGAGGACAGGAAGCAGCTCTGTGTGAGGCAGAGAACTCTTCCTCTATCTCTACACGCCATAATAACACACCTGTATCTCTGCATGTGTATCAGTATCCAGAGGAGTGAAGTAGTGGAGAACAAAATACTTCGTTACTGTACTTAAGTACATGTTTCTGGTATCAGTACTTACTCCACTACTTCTAATTTTTCTGAATACTTTTTACTTTGACTTCTTACATGTTGAACACAAATACCTGTACTTTCTACTTCTTAACATGTTGAACACAAATACCTGTACTTTCTACTTCTTACATTTTGAACACAAATACCTGTACTTTCTACTGTGTCTTACATTTGAACAAAAATACCTTTACTTTCTACTTCTTACTGTTGAACACAAATACCTGTACTTTCTACTTCTTACATGTTGAAAACTACAAATACCTGTACTTTCTACTTCTTACATGTTGAACCCAAATACCTGTACTTTCTACTTCTTACATGTTGAACACAAATACCTGTACTTTCTACTTCTTACATGTTGACACAAATACCTGTACTTTCTACTTCTTACATGTGAACACAATACCTGTACTTTCTACTTCTTACATGTTGAACACAAATACCTGTACTTTCTACTTCTTACATGTTGAACCCAAATACCTGTACTTTCTACTTCTTCATTGTTGAACACAAATACCTGTACTTTCTACTTCTCACATTTTTCCAAACAGGCTGGTTCCTTTAGTTGAATGTGTGTTTGGTGGCGTGATCATTATTATTTAGAGTCATTGCGGTGCCTATTGATTTGAACACGATCCGTGTATCCATCATTTCCTGGTCTTCTCTAAAGAAGAGGGACCAATGAAAACGTTGTCATGTTGCCGTTTGTTTCAGCATGTAAACATTCATTAGCTAACAATGACATTATTGTTCTATTATATAAAGGGAGGTCAGGTACTCTTTAAAACAGCTGCTAGTTATGGGTACTTTTTACTGAAGTACATTTCAAAGCCTCTTACTTTTACTTGAGTAAAGAATTTAGTCAGTACTTCTACTTTCACCAGAGTATTTTAAAACATGAGTATCTGTACTTCTACTTGAGTAAAGGGATGTGTGTACTTTTTGCCCTCTCTCTCAGTATCTCACCTTTGCAGTAGATCTCCTCCGTCTTTTCTCCGTCTGAGTGGTCGACTCCAGGCTTTTGCCACATTTTGCACAGCGGAAACAGTTCTTATGCCATGGCTACGAGGAGAAAGAGGACTTAATGTTACAGCTTTTTAAGTCATGCTTTTACGCTAAATATACATTCATTTACAGACAGGAAAAGATGTTGTGTTTGAAGTTATTTTACAGATGATAACAGCTGATTGTTTTCTCCCGGCATATGTGATTCGTTCTTTAACCATTTTGAATGTCCTCCTTAAACACATCACAGGTTTAGAATGCATTACCAGCTGCAGTAATACACGCTAATGTATGATTGTATTACATGCCTTCAGCTACAGAGGAACACACTTAACGAACAGGAAATATTTGTGCTCCCCTGTGACCGATTTTGTTGTGTAAGACTTCCTCCACAGATAACATCTACTGACACACCTCTCAAGTCTTTACTTATACTTTTTTTAAAGGGCGACTTCCTATCATGCCAAAATTGCAGTTTTTGATTGTTCTTCTCTACATCAACATGTGATCCCCGCGTGTGTGTCTAGGGAAACTCACGCAGCGTCAGAAATATATAAAAACCCTCTCTTCTTTTCCTCCGTTACCCCAAATCTCTAAAAACGGGGCAGGGAGGGGAACAACGGAGCTGATTTTTCCCCAGATGTTTGCGTGCCGATTATGACGTTCATATCTGAATGTGGACCCCCGGTGCCCCTATCAGAACGTTGCCTATCAGAACAATGCCCGACTGTTTTGGACGTAATATGGGTCGGTGTTTACATTAGCATCGCTAACACTCAGAGCTAACCTGTACTGGAGAGCATGTGTGTGAAGAAGAAGGAAATAAAAAGGAACTCACCTTGTGGTATAACCGGCAAGGAGAGAAAGCCTTTGAGCTCCATACTGTTCAGAAAGAATCCTTGATAATCCATGATATGGCGTCTTCATCACGGCAGTAATAGTATTAAGTCTTTTAGACAGTAGCTGCTGGGTCCCCCATGAGCTCAGACCCCTACTTTTTTATTTAATCAATTTTTTTAATTTGTATTTTATACCCCAAATCAGCACTTTTGACACAGGAAGTGAAATAGAGGGATATGAGGCATGCTAGCTTTATTGAGAATGGGTGATCTGTTTGGTATTTTGAGCAAAACACTTCATAGACATGTTTTTTTATATATTTTTATATATCTGAGACCTATGCTATTGCCCTCACAAATAGATGATAGGTGACCTTTAAAGAAATGTCACAAACATCGTCAGAATCCCTCCCTTTCCCGCCCCCCATGATCTTCTCCGCTGCGAACACAGAGTCTCCACATCGGCCACATTTCTCCGAACCTCCAAAACTCTGGGCCGAATTTGGACGGGTTTGGGTTGGTGGTGGGTGTTGTTGTGAATGTGTGTCCTGCCGGAAAACAATAATAATAATAATAAAGCTCTATTTATATAGCACTTTTCATAAAACACATGCAAGCTCAAAGTGCTTTACAACATGACACATCACAAGTAAAAATACACAACAAGAAATTGCTCTTGTTTACTATCATTTTAAAGAACTTTAAAAGGTACATGCAGCTAAATATAACATTTGATCAGGAGACACAAGGAGGTCAAAGGTATGATATAAACACTTAAAATACAATAAAATAAATAATGATTCCTCTCAGACAACTGAATTGATTGCCCAACAATATAAACCCATAAATAAGTAAATATAAAAGATAATAGTAATAAAAATGTCATAATGTAATAAGGGTGAAACAATTAAAAATATTAAAGAAAACGTTAAAAAAGGGAATGTTGCTATTAAAACTGTTGAATAACTAACATAAGATATAACCCTTTAAGACCTATAAAATAATAAAACATATAAAAGTACTAACGCAGCGTCCACACGGCGGCGTGTGTTGAAGCTTGCCGGTGGCGTGTCTGAAGCTCGACCAACAACCAATCACATGAACCTCCCGCCCCGGACACCAGAGTTCCCGTTAGCCGGTAATTACCGGACTATGACCGGCAAATATGCTGAAGACCGGCAAATCTAAATCTCTCTGGTCAAAATGTCCGGTCAAAATAATTTCCCCTTAGCGCAATACCACATCAGTTGCGCCACTTATGTGACAGACAAGAATAGTCAATTCTAATGTCTAACACGGGAGAAAGAGATGTCCTGTATGGGTTGATTGTGCGTTGATCTGTTGGTAATGCCTCGGGGTTCCGGTGGGCATGTAAACAAATGCATAATGCTGCGCTATACTTGTGGCCTCACCCGGTAAACTTTAACGGACATGTTGACCGGCAAAAAACTCTTCTAACGGGAACTCTGCCGGACACACAAGCACACGGTTTGATTGGCTAGAGCTTGTACTGGCATATGATTTGATTGGCTTGACGCTTCCGTCGAAGCTTCAAAAGTTGAACATTGAACAGCAACGCGAGGCGACGCTCCCACAATGCATGTTCGGCAAAGTGTGACGTCACCCCATTTAAGTGAATGGGCAGAAGCGTTGAAGGCTTCAACGCACGCCGCCGTGTGGACGGGCCGTAAGACTGAGAGACCATTTAAAAGGAGGGTGTCGCTAATAAAAAGCGCTAATCTAAAAATATATGTCTTATTAGCTGTCGTTTAAAACAGACAGCAAAAGCGTTTATATTGCACTTTAGATTAGATCATGTGAACCTTGAACTTCCATTTTCACAATAAAAGTGAACCTCTTTCTGTGCTTCAACCTTGATCTTCTGAAAAACTCATTCACCCAAACATTTCTGCACTGGTAATACTTTAGTTGTGTATTTCTTAAACAGAAACCTAGCAAACAAGGCTCTTGTGTTGGTGGGAAGTGAACAGGTCAGTGTTGTTTATCAGAGGCGGTGACCAGGGGCCCCTGAAAGAGGCCCTTTGTGCCCAGAGAGCTGCTTACATAATGAAACTCTTTCATAACACTGTTCAGCTGAGGACTCATACAGCGAGATGTGTGTGTGTGTGAGCATCGTGTGTGTGTGTGAGCGTATTCCACTCTACAGGTGGGAGTAGCCCAGCCTGTTAGATCAATACCAGCAGCAGAGCAGGGTTTAATAAAACAGAAGACAATATGTCATTATATAAGATGTGTGGTTCAGGCAGTACGAGACAGACAGGGATGCATCGTCATTTTTCTCAATTTCTTTGTTTGTTTCAATGAGAAAAATGACCCGTTTCTTAAGGTCTCTTTTTGAAATGCTCACGCTTTTCCTTTCCCACTTTTAGCTCCTTCCTTCTGTGGGAGGTTGGTTATTCCTGAAACCCCCAATGATGGAAACAGTAAGTCCCACTATACTCAATATTTCTGTTTCATGATGGTCATAGCCTAAGGGTTACTGTACTATCCAAGTCTTGAAAGCTTTAAGTGACAGGATCACGGCTAGGGAAACGACACACTGGTGTTTAATCCACTGTCCTCTGACTGTGCCACACTTAAAGGTCCCCTATTTACTGTTTTTCATCAATATATTATAGGTCTCCAGATATATACAAAAATGTCTCTGTTTGGCTCCAAACACCAACAGATCATTGCAGCATAGCATTACCCTTGGTTGGTGATTGGCTAATGGTTACACAAGCCAAAAAATCATTTATGACATCATAAAGTGGCCACAATCTGATCAGCTCATTTTCAGACAGGTTTTATATAAATGGATCAGGACAAAAAGAGAGAGAATCTTTGTTCCTGAAACTTTCGAGTCTCTTCTACACAGAGGGGACACATGTTGATGTAGAAGAGACATGAGAAGAGGGGACACATGTGATGTAGAAGAGACATGAAGGAAGAGGGGACACATGTTGATGTAGAAGAGACATGAAGAAGAGGGGACACATGTTGATGTAGAAGAGACATGAAGAAGAGGGGACACATGTTGATGTAGAAGAGACATGAAGAAGAGGGGACACATGTTGATGTAGAAGAGACATGAAGAAGAGGGGACACATGTTGATGTAGAAGAGACATGAAGAAGAGGGGACACATGTTGATGTAGAAGAGACATGAGAAGAGGGGACACATGTTGATGTAGAAGAGACATGAAGAAGAGGGGACACATGTTGATGTAGAAGAGACATGAAGAAGAGGGGACACATGTTGATGTAGAAGAGACATGAAGAAAGGGGACACATGTTGATGTAGAAGAGACATGAAGAAGAGGGGACACATGTTGATGTAGAAGAGACATGAAGAAGAGGGGACACATGTTGATGTAGAAGAGACATGAAGAAGAGGGGACACATGTTGATGTAGAAGAGACATGAAGAAGAGGGGACACATGTTGATGTAGAAGAGACATGAAGAAGAGGGGACACATGTTGATGTAGAAGAGACATGAAGAAGAGGGGACACATGTTGATGTAGAAGAGACATGAAGAAGAGGGGACACATGTTGATGTAGAAGAGGGGACACATGTTGATGTAGAAGAGACATGAAGAAGAGGGGACACATGTTGATGAAGAAGAGACATGAAGAAGAGGGGACACATGTTGATGTAGAAGAGACATGAAGAAGAGGGGACACATGTTGATGTAGAAGAGACATGGAAGAGGGGACACATGTTGATGTAGAAGAGACATGAAGAAGAGGGGACACATGTTGATGTAGAAGAGACATGAAGAAGAGGGGACACATGTTGATGTAGAAGAGACATGAAGAAGAGGGGACACATGTTGATGAAGAGACATGAAGAAGAGGGGACACATGTTGATGTAGAAGAGACATGAAGAAGAGGGGCACATGTGATGTAGAAGAGACATGAAAAGAGGGGACACATGTGATGTAGAAGAGACATGAAGAAGAGGGGACACATGTTGATGTAGAAGAGACATGAGAAGAGGGGACACATGTTGATGTAGAAGAGACATGAAGAAGAGGGGACACATGTTGATGTAGAAGAGACATGAAGAAGAGGGGACACATGTTGATGTAGAAGAGACATGACAGAAGAGGGGACACATGTTGATGAAGAAGAGACATGAAGAAGAGGGGACACATGTTGATGTAGAAGAGACATGAAGAAGAGGGGACACATGTTGATGAGAAGAGACATGAAGAAGAGGGGACACATGTTGATGTAGAAGAGACATGGAAAGGGACACACATGTTGATGAGAAGAGACATGACGAAGAGGGGACACATGTTGATGTAGAAGAGACATGAAGAAGAGGGGACACATGTTGATGTAGAAGAGACATGAGAAGAGGGGACACATGTTGATGAAGAAGAGACATGAAGAAGAGGGGACACATGTTGATGTAGAAGAGACATGAAGAAGAGGGGACACATGTTGATGTAGAAGAGACATGAAGAAGAGGGGACACATGTTGATGTAGAAGAGGGGACACATGTTGATGTAGAAGAGACATGAAGAAGAGGGGACACATGTTGATGAAGAAGAGACATGAAGAAGAGGGGACACATGTTGATGTAGAAGAGACATGAAGAAGAGGGGACACATGTTGATGTAGAAGAGACATGAGAAGAGGGGACACATGTTGATGTAGAAGAGACATGAAGAAGAGGGGACACATGTTGATGTAGAAGAGACATGAAGAAGAGGGGACACATGTTGATGTAGAAGAGACATGAAGAAGAGGGGACACATGTTGATGAAGAAGAGACATGAAGAAGAGGGGACACATGTTGATGTAGAAGAGACATGAAGAAGAGGGGACACATGTGATGTAGAAGAGACATGAAGAAGAGGGGACACATGTATGTAGAAGAGACATGAAGAAGAGGGGACACATGTTGATGTAGAAGAGACATGAAGAAGAGGGGACACATGTTGATGTAGAAGAGACATGAAGAAGAGGGGACACATGTTGATGAAGAAGAGACATGAAGAAGAGGGGACACATGTTGATGTAGAAGAGACATGAAGAAGAGGGACACATGTTGATGTAAGAGAGACATGAAGAAGAGGGGACACATGTTGATGTAGAAGAGACATGGAGAAGAGGACACATGTTGATGAAGAAGAGACATGACGAAGAGGGGACACATGTTGATGTAGAATAGACATGAAGAAGAGGGGACACATGTTGATGTAGAAGAGACATGGAGAAGAGGGGACACATGTTGATGAAGAAGAGACATGAAGAAGAGGGGACACATGTTGATGTAGAAGAGACATGAAGAAGAGGGGACACATGTTGATGAAGAAGAGACATGAAGAAGAGGGGACACATGTTGATGAAGAAGAGACATGAAGAAGAGGGGACACATGTTGATGTAGAAGAGACATGAAGAAGAGGGGACACATGTTGATGAAGAAGAGACATGAAGAAGAGGGGACACATGTTGATGTAGAAGAGACATGAAGAAGAGGGGACACATGTTGATGTAGAAGAGACATGAAGAAAGGGGACACATGTTGATGTAGAGAGACATGAAGAAGAGGGGACACATGTTGATGAAGAAGAGACATGAAGAAGAGGGGACACATGTTGAGGTAGAAGAGACATGAACAAGTGGATTTTTGCAAAATAGGGGGACCTTTAATGGTATGGAAACAGACCTTGGATGATCAATAAGGGACACTTTTGTTTGGATTAAATCTCTGGATTATGGGCTGATGATGGAGTGTGTGAATGATACCTCACTGCATACAGCGTCATATAGCTCAAAAACCTTCATATGTCATTTAAAAACAAGTGGATTTCTGACCACAGAGCGTATTTTTAGCAGCTCCATTTTCCCTGAAATGACCTCAGCAGCAGATCTTACTCTTGCTAGTTTGATGCCCAGCCGCTCCCCTCGGTCCATGCTGAGGGTCCCGGCCCCCTGACCGTATCCGTATCCTTTGGGGCCGTACTTTCTTCCCGTAGCTACGCTTACAGTAGATCTCCGCGTCGTGGATAGCCAGCGTTGTGCTGTCCCAAACCCTCCTGCAGACCACTGAGGAAACACGGAGGGAAAGGTCAGAGAAACGGCGTCTTAAACAAAGTGAAGCTCTCATTTTCTATCATATCTTTTCATTATAGGTGTGTTTGCTGCTGACAAAGTGCATGTTGAAACAACAACGGAACATCTTTAAGGGGACCTATCATGCAAAATGCACTTTTTGATGTCTTCTATTCATCAAGATGTGTCCCCGGTGTTGTCAGGGAACTCACCGCAGCGTCAGAGAATAAAACCCTCTCTCTTTTCCTCCGTACCCAAATCTCTAAAAACGGCCGGGTTGGGAACAACGGAGCTGATCCAGATTTGCGTCCGATATGACGTAATATCTGAATATGTGGACCCACGGCCCTATCAGAAAGTTGCTATCAGAAACAATGCCCGACTGTTTTTGGACGTAATATGGTCGGTGTTTACATTAGCATCGCTAACACTCAGAGCTAACCTGTACTGGAGAGCATGTGTGTGAAGAAGCAGGAAATAAAAAGGAACTCGCCTTGTGTATAACCCGGCAAGAGAGAAGAAAGCCTTTGAGCTCCATACTGTTTCAGAAACAATCCTTGATAATCCATGATATGGCGTTTCATCACGGCAGTATTTAGTTTAGACAGTAGCTGCCGGGTCCCGCATGAGCTCAGACCCCTCCTTTTTTTATTTATCAATTTTATTTTTTTTTAAAGCTTTATACCCCAAAATCAGCACTTTTGAAACAGGAAGTGAAATAGAGGGATATGAGGCATGGCTAGAATGGGTGATCTGTTTGGTTATTTTGAGCAAAACACTTCATAGACATGTTTTTTATACATTTGTATATATCTGAGACCTATGCTATTGCCTAAAAATAGCATGATAGGTGACCTTTAAAATGTCAAGTGTAGGAACAAATATTAAAATAGTGGGAAAAGGCATACAGTTTTGGGTTTAAAGATTACAGTTTATCCAGATTTGTGTTTGTCTCAGTACGTCCAGTCCTGTCATGATAACTCTTTTTTTAAATATATATTTTATTGAGCATTAAAAGTACAAAATATACAATTACAGAATAAGAAAGGGACAGAAACATAATGCTCACTTTCAGTTTTCTATTTTAAACATATGATAACTCCTTTTGTTAGATGATGCATTGTCCCAGAAATCATTTCCATACAGGACATTTTAGGACTGTAATGCCACTGATTTAGTGTTCATATAATTGCATAATGCAAATTAAACGCTTTTAAAAAGAGCTTTAGATTCTTAAGAATATTCAGATGTTGGATTTGGTGTTTATTTGTGCAAGTTTAGCATCCTGTTTGTCTTACAATTGCCATTTGTGTGTTTACTTTATTGCAGTCAGTCGATATAACCTCTAATGCAACATGTGTCAAACTCAAGGCCCGGGGGCCCAAATCAGGCCCTTGGTGGATTTAATTTCGGCCCGCAGGATAATTTCTAATTACTATTAGATCTGGCCCCGCCGGTATATTGCACGCACACCTTCACTCCATCCTGAGGGTCTCCTCTGCTCCAGAGCCTGACCCCAAACATTGATGAACTTGCACCCAAGATGAGATGCCAAGTATCTGGCTTGAACTAGCATCACAGAGCAGCACACTGAGTTTACATGGATGTTTCCTTCTGCACTTGTTCTTGAAACAACAGGGCATGTTTGGTTTTTCTTTGAGGGAAATAGTTTTTTTTGAAGCTGTTGTTGGCCTGTGGAGAAATGTAATCATAAGAAATTAAGCTGCAGATAGAGCCATAAGAAATGAAATGCAACTGATTATTTAATGTTTAATGTTGTTTTTTATACGGTAATAATTTAAGCTTTGTTAGTTCCAGGTTTAATATGTGCAATAAGTTCATTTCAATAAGTTTTTGCAATAAACATTGAACCAGTCCGGCCCTCGACTAGTACCCATTTTTTAATGTTGGCCACTGTGTATTTGAGTTTGACCCCCCTGCTCTTAATATTAAACTCTCCTAATCACACACTTTACTCCACTTTCATGCCAGTGGCCTAGAGGAGTTCAATATAAGAATAGTTTTGAATCCTTCACAACATACTGAAGACCCCCAGTAACGAGGGAGAACCTGATGTGATTTCCCTCAGGATAAACAGCTGTGCTCCTTTCACAAGATACTGAAAACGAACGAACACAGATATTAAGGAGGAGGTGAAGCTTTACTCACTGCAGAGGAAGCAGACTTGTGGAAGCTCTTTCCGTCACACTGCACCTCTCAGCGTGATACAACCGCCCACCCCGCAACGCCGACCACTTGTTTCCTCCGCCCCAGTTAGGCATGTTGGTGTTTCTGAAAAAAGAGAAAGAGAGAAAATCCTCAATTTTTTAAAAAGCAAATGAAAATGTAAAAATACAACTCGGGGAATATAAAGAAATCTGCATTCTTATAGGACAGTTTGTCTCTGCCTGCCACAGTATGAGGGAGCACCAGGTCTCACATCTTATATATTTATATCATATTTTATTTTGTATTTTTGAATTAAATGAATTTGTGTTCCTTGTGTAAAAAAAAAAACACAAGTTCACATGTTTAGCAGTTTGTTTATATGTATGTATTTAGATGTTGCAAGTACACACACACACACACACACACACACACACACACACAGCACACACACACACACACACACACACACACACACACACACACACACACACACACACACACACACACACACACACACACACACACACACACACACACACACACACACACACCACACACACACACATCACCCAGCACACACACACACCCACACACACACACACACACCACCACACACACCACCACACACACACACAAGCAATAACATGTAAACATTTGAAATGTATGTTAATGTTAATTATTTTGTATTTTGATGCTTCTTTGAGAGAGAGAGAGAGAGAGAGAGAGAGAGAGAGAGAGAGAGAGAGAGAGAGAGAGAGAGAGAGAGAGAGAGAGATTACTTGAGCTTTGGAAACGGTTCAGGCTTTTATTCATAAAGGAAACACGACCATGAAATCGGGTTTTAGTGTTTTTCTGCAAGACCTATTTTGTTCGTTCTCACGCAGTAACATCGTGCCTCGATAAGATCGGATGAAACTCATAAATCAACTTTAGATTTTGTTTGAGAAAAGTTCTGCACAATATATCTTTCATTCACCATCACGAGGGCTGCGCAATTTGGTGATAACTTTGACTGATATTTCATTTGTTTCTAACAAAATCAACATGTATTATCTAACTGGAAGTGTCTTGCTCACAGTCAACAATGGAAGTTATTTTCTGTATCGTATCAGCAGGAAACTGCACTTTAAAACTTTAACTTGACTACTTTTTGATATTCTTTTTTCTTTGCAATGCTCTATTTGTTAGAGAAAAGAGTTTTGAAATCTACCAATTTATTTACTTTAATCGACAAGCAGTTGGTTTCATTTGACCAGCATGAAGGCAGAGGTGCCTACACTTACCGGTACAATTAATAGCATTATCACAACAAAGCATTTTATTTTCCTAATATCAAACATTTCTTCACAAGTTGGATTTCAGCGAGTCATATTTGACGCACACAGTTCCTATTGTTAAATCCCAGCCTCTGGGAACCTGTGCTGTTAGATTTCTGATGTTGCACTTGGTTTGATAAGAAAAGAACAATGCAGAGAGGCGGGTCTTCTCAGTAAAACCCAGAGGAATGTGTCGGCTCCGAGCCACAAACACAAACAGAGGATACGTGTGAGTAAACGCTGCTGTTCCCCCACAGAATGACTCGCACATCAGTAATTACAGTCGCCTTCTTAACCATGTGTCGATGAGCGACACTTTTAAACATTTTGTGTCACCGCAAAGCTGTGACATCACACTCAGGAGACGACGATTTGAAGGCGCTGTACATCTAATGAAAAGGAAACCACAAAGCAGTCGACACTATGAATTTAATTTGAGTTCTCCTCCCAGCTGGATTACAGACTGACGCTCAGCCCTGTTATTAACTTTAAAAAGTTCCCACACAGTACACAGCAACACGTTAGAAAGCACAGTCAAGTTAAAGAGTCCTCTCCTGCTGATGTTCAGGTGTATATCAGTATGTCTCTACTTTAAAGAGTCCTCTCCTGCTGATGTTCAGGTGTATATCAGTATGTAGTGTCTCTACTTTAAAGAGTCCTCTCCTGCTGATGTTCAGGTGTATATCAGTATGTAGTGTCCTCTACTTTAAAGAGTCCTCTCCTGCTGATGTTCAGGTGTATATCAGTATGTAGTGTCTCTACTTTAAAGAGTCCTCTCCTGCTGATGTTCAGGTGTATATCAGTATGTAGTGTCTCTACTTTAAAGAGTCCTCTCCTGCTGATGTTCAGGTGTATATCAGTATGTAGTGTCTCTACTTTAAAGAGTCCTCTCCTGCTGATGTTCAGGTGTTTATCAGTATGTAGTGTCTCTACTTTAAAGAGTCCTCTCCTGCTGATGTTCAGGTGTATATCAGTATGTAGTGTCTCTACTTTAAAGAGTCCTCTCCTGCTGATGTTCAGGTGTATATCAGTATGTAGTGGTCTGTACTTTAAAGAGTCCTCTCCTGCTGATGTTCAGGTGTATATCAGTATGTAGTGTCTCTACTTTAAAGAGTCCTCTCCTGCTGATGTTCAGGTGTATATCAGTATGTAGTGTCTCTACTTTAAAGAGTCCTCTCCTGCTGATGTTCAGGTGTTTATCAGTATGTAGTTTTCTACTTTAAAGAGTCCTCTCCTGCTGATGTTCAGGTGTATATCAGTATGTAGTGTCTCTACTTTAAAGAGTCCTCTCCTGCTGATGTTCAGGTGTATATCAGTATGTAGTGTCTGTACTTTAAAGAGTCCTCTCCTGCTGATGTTCAGGTGTATATCAGTATGTAGTGTCTCTACTTTAAAGAGTCCTCTCCTGCTGATGTTCAGGTGTATATCAGTATGTAGTGTCTGTACTTTAAAGAGTCCTCTCCTGCTGATGTTCAGGTGTATATCAGTATGTAGTGTCTCTACTTTAAAGAGTCCTCTCCTGCTGATGTTCAGGTGTATATCAGTATGTAGTGTCTCTACTTTAAAGAGTCCTCTCCTGCTGATGTTCAGGTGTATATCAGTATGTAGTGTCTCTACTTTAAAGAGTCCTCTCCTGCTGATGTTCAGGTGTATATCAGTATGTAGTGTCTCTACTTTAAAGAGTCCTCTCCTGCCGATGTTCAGGTGTATATCAGTATGTAGTGTCTCTACTTAAAGAGTCCTCTCCTGCTGATGTTCAGGTGTATATCAGTGTGTAGTGTCTCTACTTTAAAGAGTTCTCTCCTGCTGATGTTCAGGTGTATATCAGTATGTAGTGTCTCTACTTTAAAGAGTCCTCTCCTGCTGATGTTCAGGTGTATATCAGTATGTAGTGTCTCTACTTTAAAGAGTCCTCTCCTGCTGATGTTCAGGTGTATATCAGTATGTAGTGTCTCTACTTTAAAGAGTCCTCTCTCCTGCTGATGTTCAGGTGTATATCAGTATGTAGTGTCTCTACTTTAAAGAGTCCTCTCCTGCTGATGTTCAGGTGTATATCAGTATGTAGTGTCTCTACTTTAAAGAGTCCTCTCCTGCTGATGTTCAGGTGTTTATCAGTATGTAGTGTCTCTACTTTAAAGAGTCCTCTCCTGCTGATGTTCAGGTGTATATCAGTATGTAGTGTCTCTACTTTAAAGAGTCCTCTCCTGCTGATGTTCAGGTGTATATCAGTATGTAGTGTCTGTACTTTAAAGAGTCCTCTCCTGCTGATGTTCAGGTGTATATCAGTATGTAGTGTCTCTACTTTAAAGAGTCCTCTCCTGCTGATGTTGGTGGGTATATCAGTATGTAGTGTCTTACTTTAAAGAGTCCTCTCCTGCTGATGTTCAGGTGTATATCAGTATGTAGTGTCTCTACTTTAAAGAGTCCTCTCCTGCTGATGTTCAGGTGTATATCAGTATGTAGTGTCTCTACTTTAAAGAGTCCTCTCCTGCTGATGTTTCAGGTGTATATCAGTATGTAGTGTCTGTACTTTAAAGAGTCCTCTCCTGCTGATGTTCAGGTGTATATCAGTATGTAGTGTCTCTACTTTAAAGAGTCCTCTCCTGCTGATGTTCAGGTGTATATCAGTATGTAGTGTCTGTACTTTAAAGAGTCCTCTCCTGCCGATGTTTAGGTGTATGGGAAATCCACAAAAAGCAGGAAAGGGCCTTTTTTTTTTTTAAAGAGTTCAGTGGTAATAACTAGGCTAACAATAAGGATTCGGGTGTTTCTTTTCATTTATTAAATGATACGATTAGATCAGAGTTGGAAAAGGTTCATTCAGTAGCCTTGAACCTTTGATCACAGTCTGAACACTGGACAAACTGTATGTTTACTGTCCCAGAGAATCAGAGAGGTTGAATCAGGAAATAAATACGGATAAATCATCATGAGTTTCCACAGTTAACTTGGCAAAATCACAACAATCACAAAGCATATTACTGTTGATAACACTGGTAACACATTGGTTTAGCATAGTAGGACAATACAATGTACATAAATAGTCCTAGCCCCTTGTTATATATATGTATATTTCTGTCTTTTGAATGCATCTGTTATTATTACGTTTTTTTACATCAGAAAGCTATGTTTTGACATGCAATTTATTAAATAAAAGACCATTTTATAGAAAGAAAACTCGTGAAAGATTGCATTTATTTTTGGTTTAATTTGAATTCACCCTTGCAGTATACAAAGTCATTCAAACTAGCTGCACCTTTACCAGCTTTGAGAACACTTTCATGATCAATCATTATAAAACATATCATATATATTATTCTGAAATGGACCAATCTGCACAATGACTACTTTTACTGTCGCTACTTTAACTATATTTTGATGAGAATACTTTTCTACTTTTACTTGTGGAACATTTTGAATGCAGGACTTTTACTGTAACAGAGTATTCCTACACTCTGGTACTTCTACTTTGACTCAAGTACAACATCTGAGTACTTCTACTTTTACTCAAGTACAAGATCTGAGTACTTCTACTTTTACTCAAGTACAAGATCTGAGTACTTCTACTTTTACTCAAGTACAACATCTGAGTACTTCTACTTTTACTCAAGCACAAGATCTGACTACTTATACTTTTACTCAAGTACAAGATCTGAGTACTTCTACTTTTACTCAAGTACAAGATCTGAGTACTTCTACTTTTACTCAAGCACAAGATCTGACTACTTCTACTTTTACTCAAGTACAAGATCTGAGTACTTCTACTTTTACTCAAGTACAAGATCTGAGTACTTCTCCATCCTCGGTAGTTAACAGTTGGATTGTCGGTGTTTTTCAGTAACAACAGCTAATAAAAAACCTATGAGCACACAGGTAAACAAACTTTTCTCCGCTATAAATGTCAAAAACGTCAACATGTAAAACGTTATTAAGACAATAAGGAATATCAAAGGTACACATATGAACTCATCACCTGCAGCTGAGGTAATGGCGCAGAAGCGAGTGAGATTTAAAAACAAATAAGAAACATATTCAGTAAAGTTAATTCAAAATGGTGGTCAGTAAAGCTGAATCTACAGCATCAGGCAATTACATCAAACCTACCTTATTGTAGAGAGGAGTAGAGAGCAGGTAAGTAGCTGTGTCTCAGCTGCAGACTGACTACACTGAGCCTCACACTGTACTGTCCCCTGCTTTCAGGGGGCGTGAACTACACACTGCTGCCTTCAGGGGCTGTCGGAAATATCAGGTTTAAAGGAGGACCTTCACGCATGTTTTTAAATAGTAGCCCAGTAGGACTCGGATCAGGGTGTTGCACTTTTCCTTGTACATGTTTTGTTTTGTTTCTTTCCGTTAACTGTCATGTGGGAACTAAGTATTTTTTTGTACGTTTTTGTTTTTCTCTTATTTTCCTACGATGCTTTTACGATTGGCTGTGAATAAGAAAATATGAAGGACAGACCATCTATTTATATTTTTTTGAGAAAGGGGCAGGTAATATAAGATGATGTTCTTCTCCGTGCTCCTTTTCGGGTATGGTGTGTTTATAGAGACATGTTTTGTAAATATTTGTTATTCATTAAGTTGTGCATACCATGAACGGAACAAATAAAAATGAAATGTGTTTCTGTTCTGGTTACCTTGGTTGCTGATTGGCTAATGGTTACACAAGACAAAACATCGTTATGACATCATCAAGTGGCCAAAATCTGATCAGCTCATTTTCAGACAGGTTTTTATAGAAATGGATCAGGACAAAAAGAGAGAGAATCTTTGTTCCTGAAACTTTCTGAGTCTCTTTACACAGAGGGGACACATGTTGATGTAGAAGAGACATGAAGAAGAGGGGACACTGTTGATGTAGAAGAGACATGAAGAAGAGGGGACACATGTTGATGTAGAAGAGACATGAAGAAGAGGGGACACATGTGTGATGTAGAAGAGACATGAAGAAGAGGGGGGGACACATGTTGATGTAGAAGAGACATGAAGAAGAGGGGATCACATGTTGATGTAGAAGAGGACATGAAGAAGAGGGGACACATGTTGATGTAGAAGAGACATGAAGAAGAGGGGACACATGTTGATGTAGAAGAGACATGAAGAAGAGGGGACACATGTTGATGTAGAAGAGACATGAAGAAGAGGGGGACTGCATGTTGATGTAGAAGAGACATGAAGAAGAGGGGACGCATGTTGATGTAGAAGAGACATGAAGAAGAGGGGACGCATGTTGATGTAGAAGAGACATGAAGAAGAGGGGACGCATGTTGATGTAGAAGAGACATGAAAGAAGAGGGGACACATGTTGATGTAGAAGAGACATGAAGAAGAGGGGACACATGTTGATGTAGAAGAGACATGAAGAAGAGGGGACCATGTTTGATTTAGAAGAGACATGAAGAGAGGGACACTGTTGATGTAGAAGAGACATGAAGAAGAGGGGACACATGTTGATGTAGAAGAGACATGAAGAAGAGGGGACACATGTTGATGTAGAAGAGACATGAAGAAGAGGGGACACGTGTTGATGAAGAAGAGACATGAAGAAGAGGGGACACATGTTGATGTAGAAGAGACATGAAGAAGAGGGGACACATGTTGATGTAGAAGAGACATGAAGAAGAGGGGACACATGTTGATGTAGAAGAGACATGAAGAAGAGGGGACACATGATGATGTAGAAGAGACATGAGAAGTGGATTTTGCATAATAAGTGACCTTGAAAATGTTATTTACTTCATTATCTTTAATAACAAATGTTTTCCCAAGATAACTACATTTACTATTCCAGTTAATGTATGAAACATCGTTTCTCGTGATCACAAAATAATTATGACCTTAATTAACAACATTTTTTATATATAAAATGTTACTTTTAGATTCTTTAATGCTAGTTATTGAACATATTTGAGGAGTTTCAAACAACCCTTACAGCCACTAGGGGGGTGTATACTCTATTAAAGGTATAATACTAATAATATAGCATTATGTTATGTACCTTTTTATTTAAATTGCTTGTTGGGATACCACACGTTGAATAATGTGGCTTCTTAATTAGGCCTAATGTTGACATCTGTAATTAATACATCTATAACATAATTTTCCCATTGAAACCGAATGGCATAATTAATCCTAAAAAGTAGAAATTGCTCTTAAACAGGGAGGCTTTTTAAAACAGGATTATGAAAGCATTTGGTTAAATCTGCACATGGTCACAGTTTCTTTATTGAAAGCACACACACACACGCACACGCACACACACTTGTCACATCATACATTTTCAATGAGTGTGTGAAAGTGGTTCAAAAGAGCTCATACAGTTGCAGCTTTTGTTCAAATGAAGAGACAAACTACTAAATGTAGCAGTGCAAAAGTCATAATTTCATACATGGTGAAGCAGCATGTAACATTCTGCATGGAAAGGTATGAAGGACACTGCGAGTACAATGTAAAATAATTACATTTGAATGAATAAACATCCACAGGTCAGAGGATTATTTGGTCTCAAAAGCATCCAGATTTCAAGGCTTTAAACCCAAAATGTCTGCTCTCCCTGGATACATTCAAACAATTTTTCACAGTACTTTGATATCGCTCCAAAATTCACCTCTAGTAAAGTATTCAAGTACCTGAGAGCAGCGTCGTCACATCGTCCTTCAGTCGACATTTATAACTAACAAAGGGTTTGGTGTTACACCGTTAATGCATCAAAAAGTCCCAACACTTTAAGGCTGTAGTGATTTTCTCCTCACAGATGTTTTTTTTAAAATGATCCCAAATAGGATTGTCTGCGATATAGATTTATACCGTGATAATTTAACAAAACAAAAAAGGGGCAAAACGAACGACAATCATCTCCAAATTAATCCGACGTTCTGTCAGATAGTGCTTAATATAAATGCTCCGTTACAGTCCCTGTAATCCACATATATTAGCGATAATATAAATATCAATTGGGGCTTATAATACAGGGAATTAAGTAGCCTGATCAAGTCTAAGGGGGGGGGGGGGGGGAATAAATGCAAAAAGTTATTATAAATGTAAATAGAGCAGTGGCACACTCCCACCACAGGAGGGCACTGTGATTGTGGCACTAATGCTTCACTCATTGAAGAATGAAGTACCCAGCATTTGATAGAAATTAGCAAAAATGCTAAAATAACTTGAGTTTTTTTAGGAAATAGTGAATGTTCAGTAAATATTCTTGCATTTTACAACACACAGATGGTTTGAAAGCATTTTTAGGATCAACCTGAGTGTTAAAACATCTAGTCTGCCTAACTGGCTGGAGGATGTCCGACGTCCAGCCTCCTCTGAGCTGAGCCTCTCTTTCTGGCCACTGGCGCGGCGCTGACTACATTTCCCAGAGTTCCCGGCGTCTGGAAGAACGCCTTGGAGGCAGAGGTTGGGGTTTCCTTCGGGGTGAGAGGAGTCTGTGGAAGTAGAGACAGATTGTTAGTTACATTACGATACGATATACGATAATACTTTAATGGTCAGATCAAGTCTGAAATGTGGCTTGCTTCACAGCAGCTCCATGTGTACAATAACAAATGACAAAATACTAATAGAGACCAGAACAAACTGAGTAAACAATGGAGGTACTACTTACTCGAGTATTTTAAATTGTGTGTGTGTGTGTGTGTGTGTGGTCTAGCATTACTATACTTGTGGGGACCTAAATCTGTTTACACAGTCACGTGTGGGGACTCGCCTCCCTTATGGGGACATAATGGAGGTCCCCATAAGGGGAATCATTAATTTTAGGGTGAAGACTTGGTTAAGGTTAGGATAAGTCTCCAGGAAATGCATGTAAGTCAATGTAATGTCCCCTGAAGTGATGTATACATGATATGTGTGTGTGTGTGTGTGTGTGTGTGTGTGTGTGTGTGTGTGTGTGTGTGTGTGTGTGTGTGTGTGTGTGTCAGAGACAATAACTGATTAGTGGCACAGGATGTGTACATGTAAATTGTGTAATTTGTCCTTTTTTTTTAAAATCTTTAATATTTTCTTTGGTTCTTTTCTAATAATAATACTAATAATAATAGATTACATTTGTACAGCCCCTTTCAAGGGACCCAAGGCCGCTTTACATGGTGAACAAACAAACAAACAAACAAACGAATGGGGCAGATAATAAAGTAAACATAAAAAGGACTTCTCAAAAAGCCTTTCTGCTGGAACAAATGAAGGTTTCCCCTCTGTGGGACAAATACAGGTATTCTGGTGATTCTGAAGAGAGGTCTCACCGGTGGTTCTGCTGTGCTGATGTTCACACTCTGTCTCTGCTCAGGAGTGGAGGGCGATGTCAGTGACCTGCTGACCTCTGACCCCGCCAGGCCGTACGCCGCCCCCCCCACCAGGAAGTGAGCAGGGAGGCTGAAGTGAGACGAGGGAACCAGGACGTAGGGGAGAGCCAGAGTGGGAACAGTGGGGGGTAGAGAGTGACCCCCAGAGAGAGGGTGACCCCCAGAGAGAGGGAGACCCCCAGAGAGAGAGAGACCCCCAGAGAGAGGGTGACCCCCAGAGAGAGGGTGACCCCCAGAGAGAGGGTGACCCCCAGAGAGAGGGTGACCCCCAGAGAGAGAGAGACCCCCAGAGAGAGGGTGACCCCCAGAGAGAGAGAGACCCCCAGAGAGAGGGTGACCCCAGAGAGAGAGAGACCCCCAGAGAGAGGGTGACCCCCAGAGAGAGGGTGACCCCCAGAGAGCAGGAAGTTCAGGCTGTTCAGACCTGGAGAGGAGAGGAGGGGAGAGTATTAAAAACACGTTAATCTACGATGTTACAGGGGCTAAAAACCCCTCTCTCAGGATTATTAAAAACACGTTAATCTACGATGTTACAGGGGCTAAAAACCCCTCTCTCAGGATTAGAAGTGTTACGTGTGTATGTACCTGCGTTGTTGGGCACGTAGAGGTAGTGTGACGGCTGCTCACAGCTGCCTGCATGACCCCCAGACTCTCGTTAAACGTCCGGTCGGGGGTCTTAGTGTTCGTTGATTCTGCTACATCACTGCAAGACTGTTCATTTTCTTCTAACCCCATCTTTCCCCTCTTCATCATCGCCCCCCTCTCTCTTCCTTCCTCCCTCCTCCTCTTCCTCCTCTCCTCAGTCTCCGGTTGGTACAGCATCACCAGAGAGGGCTGAGAGAGGTTGGGCAGGTAGGCCAGGCACTGAGGGGGGGAGGAGGGGGGGAGACACTGCTCTGAGTGAGGGGAGGGGGGTGGAGAGGACGGACTACTGCTGATACATGATGGACGGTTTCTGCAGGGACAGAGACAAGAAGTGATTAGTCCAAAGATTTGAATTGGTATTGTTTTGTTTTGATAAAGCAATTACAGGACAAGTGGAGACAAATACACACTCGAGCAGGGGGGGTCAAACTCAAATACACAGTGGGCTAAGATTAAAAAATGGGTACTAGTCGAGGGCCGGACTGGTTCAATGTTTATTGCAGAACTTATTGAAATGAACTTATTGCACATATTAAAACTGGAACTAACAAAGCTTAAATGATTGCCTATAAATACAACATTAAATAATCAGTTGCAGTCATTTCTTATGATTACATTTTTCCACAAACAGCTTCAGAGAAAAACTATTTTCCCTCAAAGGAAAAAACAAACATGCCCTGATGTCGCAACCATCCATTAAACTCAGTGTGCTGCTCTGTGATGATAGTTCAAGCCAGATACTTGGCATCTCATCTTGGGTGCAAGTTCATCAATGTTTGGGGTCAATATACCGGCGGGCCAGATCTAATAGTAATAAAAAATTATCATGCGGGCCGAAATTAAATCCACCAAGGGCCTGATTTGGCCCCCGGGCCTTGAGTTTGACACATGTGCACTAGAGTATTTACAAGACAATAACTAAGGATATAATGCCAATGGAGAGGAGGTACTTGTTACTCAAGTATTTTCACATTACCTGTGTGTGTGTGTGTGTGTGTGTGTGTGTGTTTGTGGTGTGTGTGTGTGTGTGTGTGTGTGTTGTGTGTGTGTACTCACTCAAGTGCTGTTTTCCAAACTGCAGGCGACACACTGCAGTGTTGCTTGAAGTCTTTCTGGAATAATCCACAGGCTGGTACGCTAAACCTTCAGAGGGAGAGAAATGAATTATAAGACGATAAATCAAATATATGAACTCTACTGTAATAAAAAAAAAAACTGAAATTGAAACTTCATTAATATCTATAATCATTGTAGTTTCCCCAACTGTTGTTACCTGGGAGGTGTTGGCCGGGGGCTACAGGGGGCAGAGTTCACTCTCCACTGCACCCCCACAGGTGTGTGTGTGACATTGAAGGAGGCGTGTCGCGCCATTTTGGATCTCCGGAGGTCCTGGACTTCTGCTGGCTGCGAGGCTTCAGGGACCATCGCTGAGTTCACTGAGGGGAGTAAGGACTCAGTTAGAATCAGTTCAATCAATCGATCAAAGAGTATTCATAAAACCCAATCACACATTCGTCTCAGAATATGAGTACCTGATACACCCCCTCTGTCCTCAGACCCTGCGGCATGCGGACAAGGAGAAACTCCCAAATAAACCACACAGATAACTGGGGAAAGATCGAAGTTGAGCAATACATCTGACTTTCAAAAAACGTATTTCTCACATTACAGCACTTTAGCATCCAATAGTACTCCACTTTAGATGAACAGTTTCTTTAACAAGGGGTCACAGCATGTATAAGGGTATACATTGGAGGTAGTAGTGGAGTACAAATACTTTGTTACTGTACTTAAGCACATTTTTCTGTATCAGTACTTTACTCTCCCTACTTATTTTCCTGACGACTTTTACTTTGACTTTTTACATGTTGAACACAAATACCATGTACTTTCTACTTCTTACATGTTGAACACAACACTGTACTTTCTACTTCTTACATTTGAACCCAAATACCTGTACTTTCTACTTCTTACATGTTGAACACAAGTACCTGTACTTTCTACTTCTTACATTTTGAACACAAACAACCTGTCTTTCCTACTTCTTACATGTTGAACACAAGTACCTGTACTTTCTACTTCTTACATTTTGAACAGCAAATACCTGTAACTTTCTACTTCTTACATTTTGAACACAAATACCTGTACTTTCTACTTCCTACATGTTGAACCCAAATACCTGTACTTTCTACTTCTCACATGTTGAACCCAAATACCTGTACTTTCTACTTCTTACATGTTGAACACAGTACCTGTACTTTCTACTTCTTACAGTTTGAACACAAACACCTGTACTTTCTACTTCTTACATTTGAACACAAATACCTGTACTTTCTACTTCCTACATGTTGAACCCAAATACCTGTACTTTCTACTTCTCACATGTTGAACACAAATACCTGTACTTTCTACTTCTTACATGTTGAACACAAATACCTGTACTTTCTACTTCTTACATGTTGAACACAATTACCTGTACTTTTCTACTTCTTACAGTTGAACACAAATACCTGTAGTACTTCTACTTCTTACATGTTGAACCAAATACTCTGTACTTTCTATACTGTCTTACATGTTGAACACAAGTACCTGTACTTTCTACGTCTTAACATGTTGAAACACAATACCTGTACTTTTCTACTTCTTAACATGTTGGAATCACAAATACCTGTACTTCTCTACTCTTTCCTTAACATGTTGAACTACAGAGTACCTGTACTTTCTCCTTACTTACTGTTGAACACAAATACCTGTACTTCTCTTCTTACATTGTTGAACACAATACCTGTACTTTCTACTTCTTACATGTGGAAAACCCAAATACCTGTACTTTCTACTTCTTACATGTTGAACACAAATACCTGTACTTCTACCTTCCTTACATGTGTGAACACAAATACCCTGTACCTTTCTACTTCTTACATGTTGAAACCACAAATACCTGTAACTTTCTACTGGTTCTTAAGCAATGGTTGAAAACACAAATAACCTCGTACTTTCTACTTCGTTACATGTTGAACCACAAATACCTGTACTTCTACTTCTTACATGTTGAATCATCAAATACCTGTTACTTTCTACATTCTTACATGTTGAACACAAATACCTGTAACTTTCCTACTTCTTACATGTGGAACACAATACCTGTACTTTTCTACTTCTTACATGTTGAACCCAAATACCTGTACTTTCTACTTCTTACATTTTGAACACAATACCTGACTTTCTACTTCTTACTTTGAACACAAATACCTGTACTTTCTACTTCTTACATGTTGAACCCAAATACCTGTACTTTCTACTTCTTACATGTTGAACCCAATACCTGTACTTTCTACTTCTTACATTTTGAACACAAATACCTGTACTTTCTACTTCTTACATGTTGAACACAAATACCTGTACTTTCTACTTCTACATGTTGAACCAAATACCTGTACTTTCTACATCTTACATGTTGAACACAAATACCTGTACTTTCTACTTCTTACATGTTGAACCCAAATACCTGTACTTTCTACTCTTACATGTTGAACACAAATACCTGTACTTTCTACACTTCTACATGTTGAACACAAATACCTGTACTTTCTACTTCTACATGTTGAACCCAAATACCTGTACTTTCTACTTCTTACATGTTGACACAAATACCTGTACTTTCTACTCTTACATGTTGAACACAAATCCTGAACTTTCTACTTCTTACATGTTGAACACAAATACCTGTACTTTCTACTTCTTACATGTTGAACACAAATACCTGTACTTTCTACATCTTACATGTTTGAACACAATACCTGATTTCTACTTCTTACATGTTGAACACAAATACCTGTACTTTCTACTTCTTACATGTTGAACACAAATACCTGTACTTTCTACTTCTTACATGTTGAACACAAATACCTGTACTTTCTACTTCTTACATGTTGAACCAAATACCTGTACTTTCTACTTCTTACATGTTGAACACAAATACCTGTACTTTCTACTTCTTACATGTTGAACACAAATACCTGTACTTTCTACTTCTTACATGTTGACACAAATACCTGTACTTTCTACTTCTCACATTTTCCAAACAGGCTGGTTCCTTTAGTTTGAATGTGTGTTTGGTGGCGTGATCATTATTATTTAGAGTCATTGCGTGCCTATTGATTTGAACACGATCCGTGTATCCATCATTTCCTGGTCTCTCTAAAGAAGAGGGACCAATGAAAACGTTGTCATGTTGCCGTTGTTCAGCATGGAAACATTCATTAGCTAACAATGACATTATTGTTCTATTAATATAAAGGGAGGTCAGGTACTCTTTAAAACAGCTGCTAGTTAATGGGTACTTTTTACTGAAGTACATTTCAAAGCCCTCTTTACTTTGACTTGAGGAAAGAAGTTTAGTCAGTACTTCTACTTTTACCAGAGTATTTGTAAGTATCTGTACTTCTACTTGAGTAAAGCATGTGTGGACTCTTCCCATCTCTGATAAAGACCCACGTTACTTCAGAGAACCGATCCCCTCTTTGATTCTTACCGGTGTTTCCGGAGCTCTTGAACTCCACGGGGCCGAGCCACTTGAAGGCCGGTTTCCTGCCCCTCTCCTCTCTGACGTGGACCTTCTGTATGAGACCCAGGCTGGTCAAAACGTTGGCGATGTCGTACAGCCGCCGCACCTTAGCTGCACGTACAGACATCACGTTAAGAATTAGGATTTGTTATTGTTTGTAATTATTTGTTCTCTTTGTACATACAATCAGTACAGAACATAGTCTCATTTGTATGCATATCTTTTGCTTTCCACTTCTAAATGACAAACATTACTTATGCATTGTCGAAACGCAATAAAAACATTTTTGATCAGAAGAATTAGGGTTTGTAGTACAGATTTAGAATACTTTATTGTCCATTAAAGTTACATATAATGGAAATGTGTCCTTGGCACTGGCAAATAGGGTTAAATAACACTCATATTACACAGTACAACATATATACAATTTATACACACAAAAGAGGGGAAATGCATTGTAGAGTGACTAAGAGGCTGTGACTAATAAAAGCCGTTTGTTTTTCCACTGGTTTGGGTCCATTAAGTGTGTGTTTGTGTGTGTGTGTGTGTGTGTGTGTGTGTGTGTGGTCACATGGTCCCTTTGTGAATGTTTGCAGTTTGTGATATATAAGGGGGAAGTTGTGAAATAAGGTTTGTATTACAGATTCAGAATACTTTATTTATTGTCCATAACAAATTACACATAATGGAAATGTGGCAGTCTTAATAAAGCCCTCTGTTCTTCCACTGGCTTGGATCCATTAAGTGTGTGTGTGTGTGAGTGTGAGTGTGAGTGTGAGTGTGAGTGTGAGTGTGAGTGAGTGTGAGTGTGAGTGTGGTGTGTGTGTGTGTGTGTGTGTGTGTGTGGTGTGTGTGTGTGTGTGTGTGTGTCCTTCTCTTACTTTTGTACTTGCTGTGGCTGGATGAGTCCTGGCTGTCTTCGATGAGGATCTTTGCCGCGGCGTCCAGAGTAACCGTCTGAGTTTTGGAAACGAGGAACAGCATGACGAACTTCTGGCTCATGATGCGCAGAGATTTGTCCTTCCTGTTGCCACCGGCTACAAACAAGAAGACAACTGTTAGAAAAATCTCATTCGTCTCCGGCTTGAGCTTCAATCTCAGGATCCATGTATTTGTGATCCTCTCCAGAATGGAAGTAGTCATCACATACAGAGCATCAACTAGTTCCTGAACAGTGTCCTTCACATGCTGATATACAAGAGAGGGAGTTACACAGTCACAAGATGGAGGAATACCTTGTAGGTAATCATACATCCTGTCATGTTCAAAAGAGTTTTTTGTCGAAATGTTGGCTTTTTTCTGAAAATCTGAAAATTCTGACTTTTCCCCAAAATTCTGTTTTTTTCTAAAGATTTGCTTTTTTTTCTGAAAATCTCAAAATTCTGACTTTTTCAATAAAATGTGGACTTTGCCTCAAAATCTCAAAATTCTGAATTTTTCGCAAAATTTAGATTTTCTCTCAAAATGTTTACTTTTCCTCAAAATTCTGACGACTTTGCCTCAAAATCCTGACTTTTTCTCAAAATTCTGACTTTTTCTAAAAAATCTGACTTTTCTCAAAATTATGACTTTTTCTCAAAATTATGACTTTTTCTAATCATTCATCCCCGGCTTGATCTTCAATCTCAGGATCCATGTATTTGTGATCCTCTCCAGAATGGAAGTAGTCATCACATCCAGAGCATCAACTAGTTCCTGAACAGTGTCCTTCACATGCTGATATCCAAGAGAGGGAGTTACACAGTCACAAGATGGAGGAATAGAGAGCAGTATTCATGTTTACTTCAGATTAGCTCCACGTCAGAAATGAGCATGCTTGTCATATGTCTATCTCCATAGAGGCTGAATCATCATGTTTCATCATAGCTATCATATGCCTCAAACAGTCCTGATGCTCTTCTAGGTAATCATACAT